AATGTTAAATAAATCTCTTTTGAGGGTTGAATCTCGTCCTATGAAACATTTAAACATCGCTCTCGTCTTATCTCGACCTTGTGGGCGTGTGGACAAATAGATGCAATGAAATAAATATGCGTCGACTAGATAACGCTACCGAGCGTCTGACGCCACAATCAACTGTTTGTGAACTTGTGGGCCGCAGTGACTATTTCTCCGAAACCGTTTTTGTTGGCGAAAAACATTGTTCGTATTTCCAAAGAATGTGGTTGAGGTCAAATTTATTCACTTTCGCTTCCCTCTGATCGAACGGAGGAAGGTCGAGCCAGCTTTGTTTCAGTCCAATCAAAAAAAAAAAACCCTCCTCACTCAACACGACACATATATTCCATTTCTCTGAGACACAAGGCTCGTTAGGGAAAATAAAGGCAGCTCCATTTATCAGTTAATTGATTTTAAAAGCGTTCGCCCTTAGAAAAGTCGTCTCCCGTTACACGAGGCCATGTGAAGTTCAGAGCAACTTTAAACCAAGGTGAACTTGAGGGTTTTGTGTTTCCTGCTGTTTGCGTGTTATCAGTGAGGAGCAGCTGAGAGAGAGAGAGAGAGAGAGGGAGGGAGGGAGGGACTTACATCGGTGGAGGTCATTGATAAAACCCGGTCGTGATCTTCTACCAGCTGTCTGAAGGTCGGTCTCTGCGATGGCACCGCATGCCAGCACTCCCTCATGATCATGTACCTGAAACACACACAAGTCTGGTTACTCTGCACATCGTCCACTTTCTTAGAATGTTCATCAGTCACGGATCCGTCGTGTTTTTTGTTGCTACATATATAAATTTAGTTGGATGTTGTGATCTTTGCAACCTGACACATAATCTAACATTGAGTGAAAGTGTGTTTTCACTCTCTCAACTGTTTTTCCAACTCATAAAAATGATTCACTCTTAAAGAATCAAACTGTAGAAGATGTTTTTTTTTTTTAAAGCCTCGTAAACACAGACGAGCTGATGAGACACCTACAGCTCATGTGTGCAGTTTGCAGGTTTGTCCATCCGATGTCCCTCCTTCAGCAGCTTGAAGAGTTCTTCTACTGGGATTCCTGGGTACGGAGAACCTCCCAGTGTGAAGATCTCCCACAACAACACACCATAGGACCACCTGCACACACACACACACACACACACACAAAGGAAAAACACAATCAGACTCAATACACAAAGAACACAAATTAGAGGTCAAACGACCTGGACCTTTATTTTCATGTAGGTGGCCTTTCAGGCAAGTTTCAGGGAGAATCGTTCCTGAAACACGAAGCCTGGTCTAAAGCGACAACGAAACCTGAATAGAAAAACGTATTACAGTGTTTCTACAGTAAAAAGCTCCTCTCTCTCTCTGGGCTGATTTATTCCTAAAGGTTTAAAAAGATGAGGGAAGGTAATCAGATAATGGGCGGTCTATTAACCCAGCGGACTATTGTTGGGCTGTTCGTCCAGTGAATCAGAATCAGACCCCTCCTCTCAGCGCGGTGCTCCAGCGAGCCTAATCTAATTATCCACGCTCCGGTCCAGAGGCTGGAAAACAGCCGCTACTGGCCGGGCCTGTGCGAGTCCGCCATCCAAACATACAAAGAGAGAGAGGGAGAGAGAGAGAGAGAGAGAGAGAAAGAGAGAGAGAGAGGGGACTGTGGTGGAAGAGAGACATCAAGAATTCAGAGGGAAAGAAGCGGAAACCGCAGCGAAGGACAGATGAAGCTGAGAGGAACCTCCCACACTGAGCAGATCTCTGACTCGTTATCGTCACTGTGATCTGTTCGTTAACGAGTCGGGTCTTTAGAAACAGGTTCAGGAACGTTTCAGGAAACGATCTGTACCGAAGCGTCACCTGCTGAGCACGTGTCTGAATACCAAGAGTGAGAGACTGGCAGCGGTGCTAAGAATCAGGAGGTGAACGCACGTGACTGCGTCACTGTTTCTGAACATCACAATTCAGGGGCTGCGTCCTGCAGAGGTCGCATTTGAAGACGGACTCTGGCTGCGTGTGTGTGCGTAACGCTGCATTGCTGATCTGCTGCGTCACACAGGGAGAGCGTGTCTGCTGCAGAGCTGCTGCGTGAGGTTTCCAGTATGACCACTGTATTTCCTCCATTTAAGAATGGGCCCGTGTACCAGGACTGAATAACAGGAACTTCGGTCCTGCAACTACTTCAGGATTAAAACCTTGTTAAACACAAATTAATGGATTCGCTGGAGTGGTTTTACTGTGAAACGGAGAAATCGCACGCATGAGACTTTGTCGCCGCTTCAACCTGAAATCACGGGCGCCGAAATGAAAAGCAACGAGTTCTGCAGCGCACATGCACCGTTCACACGTCCGGTGTGGCCCCGGCCCCGTTATATA